GGGCCTCAGGTCGGATTCGAACCCGGGCCGCTGCAGCAACTATATGGGTCACCAGCTCTACCAACTGAGCTAACCGGGTGCCCATGTCTCCATCTTTTAACAGATCTAAATCTACTGACTAATGTGGGAAAATAAATTTGTTAAAAGAAGGTAGCAACAGATTTTAGGAAACTGTGAGTGAGTAGCCCTAGCATTTACCGAAGTGGCCTGGGTTCCATTTCAACCTGCAGCCCTTTGCTGCATGTCCCGTCCATGTAATGAGTAATTTACTACATTTTGGCCAACACAGGCTTTCTGTTCCAATTTTGTAAGCTCAAGCCCAGGCCAAAATAACACAGCTAACATCATCAGTTTCTCAGACTTGACAAAGCTCCTCTAGAGATACAGATATACTGTTTTTACAGGTTAAGTAATACTCCCCATGACTAGTAAACTGACCTTTCTGTGTAAAACCACTTGAGTTCCCTTTAGCGAGGCCTGTACCTAAAATGTTTTTTTCAGTCTGATAAGACAGGAATTTCCCCCTCTACAAAAATTTGAAACACACCTCCATGCTGACAAAGAAATGTGTGGTTGCTGATGGGGCCTGGTTCGGCGAAGGTGTTGAATTTGTTCAGCCATTCTCTGGAGATGTAAAACTGCAGCAGGCTGGGCTCCTTCATATTGGCCAGAGCCACGACCTTCTGCCTCTCTCTCACAGACTCCTCACTACTTTTCCTGTATGGGTCCAAGAAAAATACAGTCAATAAAAACATTTTGAATAAACCAGCATTGATTTTGTTACGGGGTCTTCAAAGGCTCACCTATAGAACAACACATAGGCCTCTGCATTCTGCACCACTGTTTCATGGACTTCTGTGACATACTGGTCATCAAACTCATACCACTGGCCATTGATCACATTCTGACAGTAAGCTATGTAGTGTCCACCTGCAGCAACAGAAAAAGTGTAAGAGAAGAGTAAAATAAAAGTGATTAGTGATTGGTATAGATAAAAATATGCAGATGTTTGCTCAATCTCTTAGATATGTTAACTATATGGAAGTAACATTTGAAATGTGCTTATGTGTAGGAAATGAAGTTATCTCATACTTCCTGCAGTGCCATGGTGACAAATGACTGACAGCAGGTCGTAAGTGGTGACTTGGGATGGACTCTCTTTAGCCAGGAAAGGTCGCATGTCAAGGCCCTCCAATGGGAAAGATACATGGCTGCTAATCTTGAAAGAATACATGACTTCGTGCCGGAAGCGCTTTAGGTGAATGCACAGAATCTGCACAGATAATTGAGGAAAAAAACACTTCATGTGGCCAACCACAAGCAAAACTTATTTGTAGATTGTTTGTGTTGTTATCGGCAGCAACAAGATCAGATAAAAAAAAGAAATGTGTACCTCAGGAAGTCTAAGCACTTTGCAATATTTCACCCCATTTCTCAACCTGTAGAAAACAAAGTGCTCTGTAAATAAAATTAAATAAATGAAAAATATTCTTCTTTAAATTGATGATTTGTTTAACAGAATTTCTCCAGTTATAATAAATGTCCCCACCCGGATTTACTATACATACTCACTTTTTACATCGCTCACAGCTGTACATGTTGTCCCCTGGGAAAAGATTTAAAATAAATGTCAGTTCTGACAGAAATCTTCTCATCTACTATATTATAGTACAATAGTATAGTGTAATACGGTTTACCTTTGAGTTCGTCTGCAGCAAAGAAGGCGGCCAGGCAGTCCTCTAGGGTTACCATGGGGCCCCAAAACCAAGTGGGGATACATGAGACTACGAACCTGTTCAGGAAAAATACAAAGATACGCAATCATTACAACCACATACAGACATCAGGCTTCTTTAGTCCATATCCTGATAGTAATCATATGGACAAGTGACCTTCGTTTGGGTCAGCAACTTGTAATTATTAAACAACCGCAAAGGCAATGCTGCCTGGAGCGATACTAGCTCCGGATCTTTGATGGCATTAAGTTTAAAGAGCAGCTTTCAGCCTAAATACATCTGATCTTACAGTTTCCTGAAAGGTTTGCTCCTCAGGTGGTCGTCTTGAGTTCTCCTACCATTCGAACAAGGCCTTTGAGTTTATTACATAAATGTCTGTGATTCTGCAAAAACACAAAGCTGTCATATTATAATTTTGTGTAGCTGATATGGCGAACTTGCTTATTCACACATTCAGCAGATACGGAGCAACATTAGTATTCATTTGGCAACTTGGCAAGTCCACACTGTAAATCCTTTTAGCTGTGTTCTATCTCCACCAACTCCTGAGGGAAATATATGGCTCTTTAGATGCTAAATACTCCACAATGTTCCCCAGCCAGTTGCTAAGTCTGTCTGCTGGTTTATAAGAACTTTTCACTGAAGAAGGCTATGCTGATGAGACCGGTGAGCACAAACCAAAACAGTAAAGACACAGGCTGTAAAACCAAAAAAAAAAAATGTATTTAGGACTCTATAAAGCTCTGTAGAGCTGAAGGAATTGCAGAGTCTGGTGACAACTTTCGCATTCAGGCGTCACTCCATCTATACTGGCTAGGAGACCACTAGATTTATCAAACAAAGGCATCAGCACCGTTATGGCAAACTGCATGCCAAGGCCTGTCTCTGCATCTCTAAATAAATATAGATGAGATTGAATCTCGCACGTTTTCTTTTATCAGCTTCGAGGTATGAAAAATAAACCTTTGCCCTGACAGAATTCGTGAATTTCTTTAGAGCAGAAGTCTAACCAGGAGCTGTCATCATTTCATGGTGCAGGACTAGCAGCTGGAAACACTCACATAACAGAAAATTGTCATTTTATATTTAATAAAAGGTGACTATAAGAGAATCAGTGTGTTGTGTCTCTACTTCGTGTGACAACAAGCTGGCATGCATCCTGATAAAGGCTGCGGTATACACAACCTTTTTAATTTGCCAACTCCAAGATACATGCAGCAAACTAAACAAGGACACATACGTTGCTTTGACAGCTCTGGCAAATCCTCCTGATACCGACATCCCCTCACCTGCATCTTCTGTCATCTTCACAGTCAGATGAAGCGGCATTTATTGTAAACACTTAACCAGAGCCAAATTCCCACTTAATACATTTCTTGGGGAAAAAAAACACTGGTTGCTTTTCAGAGATAATGTGGAATTAGTGTGACAATAGGGTTGGGCAATGTCTCCTTAAAAAAACACACTTCTCAGTTCCAAAGTAAATTACTATTATTGGCTTTTTCCTCAGAAAGATTTTACTCGCCAAACAAAAAGTCTACCTGCATTTGGTGCCTTGGGTACTCATTTCCGATGACAGCGAATTGATTTAGATCTACACCACTAACTGACTGAGCGACAACACACTGAAAAATGAAACCTCTAACCTCTAATCTATCGTGCCTTATCACTAACGATTCTGCTAAACTGATGTCTTTGTGTTCACACACGCTGACTGGCAGCATGGTCCACTAACCGGCGTATGGAGTCCATGATGTAGGAGATCCAGCCCTGCGAGCTGTACGTGTCGGGACACACGCCCGTCTTGACTGGGAGGTTCTGATGTATAGAGGAGTGAAGCTTTGCCAGGTCCTCTTTACCAGGAATAGGGAGAGACAGGTCTTGAAAGGTTTCCACTGTAGTAGAGACCTGTCGTGCATTCAGATAATTGTTTTACACAGTGTTACACAACCCTTTTAGAGTAGAGTAGTAGTAGAACTTTAAAAATTGGTTCTCTCTAAGAAGTGTGAAATAAATGCTTATCTACACAAATCAGTGTGTTTGATTTTGGATTAAATAAGCCATTTCATATCCACATTTTCAAATAAATAGTAATAATAAGCATATGTGAATGATACAAATAAAACACAAACTTGAATCGATATATAGGCTATACCTTTATTAAAATTTCACCTAAAGCAAAAAAAATCGAATATTATTTAGTAAATATACAGTTGTTTCTGACTTAATATGTAGCTCCCCCTGGTGTTTGTGAAGAACAACTCACCCTGTCACAGGTTAAACACTGGACCAGACTGAGGATAGAGCCATCAAAGATGTCAGAGATCACACTGCGATAGTGAGACTGTTTCTTCTTCCTGGCACTGAGCAGCAGCTGAGCTGGAAGATTCATGACGGCATATTAGAGGACAAACTTAACATTGACAATGTTTTTTGACTTGACCTAGCAAAGAACATGCTAGCCGCAGTTGCTCATGGATGAGGACAAAACAAGCAGTGTGTCTGTGTATATATTGTGGTGGACAGAATACAACTATTTCAGCAGGATCCCAATATGCTGACAGCTGGATCTGTGTTTTAACACTACAGACTTTAGATACTACAAGCTGCTGAAAAGTTTAAGCACAAATCTACACATGGAGGAAGTGGCACAGGATGTGTACGGAGATGAAGCTCAAAGCCACTGTTTCAATTTGGGTGATCGTTCACAAAGGTAGTGGAGGTTAATCTTAATTAATCAAGAATAGATATCTACAAGCATGCATACTTTGGAACAATGAAATGTCACAATGACAATGCAAACATGCAGAGAGCAAGCAAGTCTGTTGTTCACCATCTTAGTTTGGAGTGAACAAATGCCAACATTTGCTAATTAAAAGTAAAATAATTTTCCAAGCCATGGTTTTTTTTTACGATTTATGCTGAGCTGGAACTTAAATGTCTGTACCAAATTTCATGACAAACCTTCCAAAACTCAGGGGATCAACAAACTTATCAGGGTACATCATCTCCCTAGAACCACGCTGCTAGCATAACTAAAAAGGAAAAGATGCATAAGAATACATTTTCATTCCTAGACTGTGTGGTCTTAAGGGAGGACCCTGTTAATAGAGGTAATGACAACCCACACACACAAACCAGTATCTCCTGTTTGACTTCCCCCCATCCACATAAGCAATAACTGGGTGTCATTGGAACCTTAAGAAAAATAAATCAAATTCACCCGTGTTGATTCTGAAAAGGAAGGAAGGATTAGTGGGAAAAAACACTGATACTTTTCAAACCAGGCTACCTAACCAAACACTGCATTGTTAACTTGCAGAACTGCAAACCTAGAGGTAAGAAAAAGGGTCCAGCTCTATGTAAAATGTAAGAAATCCTTGCTGAATCCATCAAATTTAAATGACTCCCCAGGAGTCAGTAGAAATGTTGACGTGCCTTGAGCAGTGAAACACCCCAGTGTTTCTTTACCTTTTTTGAAAGAGTACGCAGGTCCTGCAGAGCGGAGCGGGCTGGAGCGAGGTGGACTGGAGGACAGTTTGGGATGCAGCTCCTGAAGGGTTCGCACAGGACTGCAGGGAGTGGACTGGGTCTGGGTCATGGACACTTCATTGTCTGGCTCTAAAAAACAGCATGTTGGATGCACAAAACGGACAGTTTAGAGACAAATTATGGAATATTGTGGAAGGTAGGAATGTAAAGCTCCTGCTGGCATTATACCTGAGGAGTTGTTGCTCTGGGTTTGCCCTTGCCCAGTAGCAGTTAACTGGTTGTTCTCTTGGTTTTGGACCTCGGTGTTTGCGGTTGGCGTTAACTCCTCTTCCTCTCCCCTCTCAGTAACCCCCTCTTCAGCTGCTGTATCCACATCAGCGTCCTCATCCATCTCTTGCGAGCCTCCACGTAGGGGTGAGCCAGACACCCTCCTTTCTTTCAGCCTCTCCTTCTCTGAGATCACCCCGCCAGTACTGACGCCCACCACCCCTACTGCTGGTGGCCTGACGCCATCACACTCATCCTGCAGGAGCAGCTCACCGTCACCCAGTCCTCCTCCCTCCCCCCGGTCACTGCTTGAGCCCGAGTCGCAGGATAGGAATTCATCCTCAGATGGGGAGCGTTCTCCATCTCTTATCTCCTCCCCATCACTTCCCTCTCCGCTCATGCTGCACTCTGTCAGAGGCTCCTTCAGCTCTTCGTGTAACTGGTCCATCAGACAACGCAGGAACTCCTGGGTGTCCTGTAGCAAGAAAAGCACATTGCATTCAGTCAAGAGGAGGGTGCATGAGTATAGTTACATACACAGAGACAGGTGTTTTTCATAGAAGTTGGATATGTAGTAATGGGCAACAAATACAGTAAATGTCTGTAAACCTAAAGATGGAAAGAGAAATGTGTGAGTAACAGTGTCTTGTTTGCAACAAGACAGCGTTTTGTATATTGGTTAAAAAAAGTGGTACAAGGAGAACCTATAAAATAATCACACTCACTACAGACAGTGGGTATGAGGCAAAACCCATTATTTAAAAATTCTTCTAAACACTTTTCCATAGCAATCACAATCAAGCAAAACCAGACACTTCAAACATGCACTGAATGCCTGAATCAAACATGAAAACATTTTTAAACAACATTTCACAGATAATTCAGTGTCTGATGATAATTCAGTGTCTTAAAAAGGATCAGACAAACTCGACACAAAAGGTTTTATTTGAGTTGTTTATTTGTTTGTGTATTTAAGGGGATTATTCTGTGTCCCACGACCACGGTGTGAGACTCACTGATGCGTTTTTAATCTTTCTGCATGCAGTTTGAAGGCATGTGGAGATATACAGCCTCTCTAAAGTTGAGGCAATAGTTTGACATTTTGGGAAATACACTTGCTTTCTTGCAAAAAATATGACGATGCCACTCACATGTCTGTATGCAAAATAAAAGGCTACAGCCAGGAGACGGTTAGCTTAGCTTAGCAGAAAGACTGGAAACAGGGAGAAACAGACTGGCTCTGTCCAAAGGTATCAATATCCGCCTACCGACACCTCTAATGATCACTTAATAACACCTTATATCTTATTTGTTAAATTTGCACAAAACTGATTTTGTAACAAGTTGTCATTAGCAGTTTACCCTTACTTCCAGTTGTTTTGCTATGCTAGGCTAAAGCTACTTAACTAGGCTAACTACTCTGGAAGAAAGCAAAAAAAGTACATTTACCAAAATTACTATTCCTCTATGAAATCCACTCTAAGAGGTGATGCAAGACTAATGAAAGTACCGATTGTAGTTTAAGTGATTGCAAGTCGTTAATGTCTTGATTACCAAAGAAATTAGATGATATCTATCCTCTCCTCTCTACTGTTTCTCTCCACTGTTGCATCTATGACTCAATCAATAAAAAAACACTAAAATCTTCTCCAAAACAGAACTATCCCTTTAAAAACAAGTAAACAACTCAAGTCCAACCTCAAATGCAGCTGTTAACAGAAAAAAGACATTTTTAGGGAATGTGTGAGAAAAATACACAGGGGTTCACAAGACAGTGTCAAGCTGTTGAGTGATGCCAGGTGTAGTTACCTGCTGGGTGCTTGCCCCTACCTGCTGAGCGTAACCACGAAACATGGGGTTTACTAGTTTGATGCCATGAGACAGACTGGTAGGGACGACATAGCTGGGCCTGGGAGGGTAGCCGCCATGAGAGTTAGTTTAATACACTGTAAATGATTCATTAGTAAATAACACTCTCATTTTTATATAAAATGCACAGCTGCATTCCGTCACTTGTCTCAAGTTTTATGTCACTGTTATGTGTTTATTACCGTTTTTTATGCCAGAGTTCTGAGATGAGTTTCTGATAGCTCTTACAGAGAGCAGGTTTCTTATCGGTCCGGACCAATCCACTGCAGTCCAGGAAGAACTGAGTGAGAGGAGGACTTAAAGAGAGGAAAAACATACATGAACACAACTGTTTAACTAAAGGAAAATGAATTAATAAACCCCGGTAATGGACCAAATGTAATTAGAGAAAGTGACCTCACCAGTTGGACAAGGCTTGAAGAGCTGCGTTCATGTAGCAGGAGTTTCCAATATTTTTCATTCCTGTCAAGCCTTGAAATAACAGGAGAAACAAGAACCGTACAGTTTTTGTTCTGTGTATGTATAAAAGTGTACAAACTAAGCAATTTAGATATAAACTCATATTTTTAGAATAAGTAGAATGGAGAAGACACTACTAGGAGTTAATTATCAATGCTAGAAACAGGCCTAGTAACTATTCTTAGGGCTCAAAACAATTATATCTAATAAAAATGGCAGCTATAACCTAATACTACACTTAGAAAATCCAACAATGAAAAGACATGTATTAGCATTTTTGGGAGGAGAAATGTTGACCGTAGACTTGGCGTACCTCTGGGTTTAAGCTCATCCTCCTCTGACTCCGAACCTTCTTCTTCTGCCACAGCAATTGGTACGGCTTTTAGTGGGTGACCTACTGGCTGAGGAGCAGCTTCCTGGGAATAATGAATAGATACTATAAATATGAAGGCGAGTAAAGAACGGGCAGTGTGAATTTGAAACGGCATCACTAGCACTTTTTTTTTGTTTTTCTATTTAAATCTATCAAGTGGGAGAACGGAGAGAGACCATATTGTACCTGCTCTGTGGCTTTACAGTGGTGGGGTGCAGCAGGTACAGGCACCAGCGCAGGCCTGTGCTCCAAAAACACCTCCCGCTCACACACATAACACCAGATCCTGAACGTCGTCAGGTTCACAGTCAGGTTGTGCTTCTTGGCCTAAAGGAAAAATACTCACAATCATTGAAGAAAGGAACATTTTCCCTCTCATAACCATCCACCGAGGAGGTAAACTGGTGATAAGGAGAGCAAAAGCTGGCAGGTTTATTTAAAGTGAAGGGGTTTTACCTGTGAATGCATGGTGCTGTGATCAGAGTAGGACTCTCCACAACCAACATATGGGCAGTCATTCTACAGAGCAGAAACACTGTATTAGACAGGATCTTATGGCTTCTTCTATCTTGCAGAGACATTACATCACAGTAACAATAACAATATCTACTTGTCTATCAATCGGAATTGGATTATTAATAAATAATTCCATGCTATGAATGTAAATCAGAGTATAAAGTATTAGCTGTAACTGCACATATTGTGTATTGGCTTTAGTAGCTACTGCATTTATAATTGCATTTATAATTACATGTATGCCTAACATCCTCATTACTTATTAAGCATTCATCTGACCTTCTGACCTTAAATGGTTTATGATTAGTGCAGCAGTAGTAGTAAAAGTCAGCGTTTATGTGAAAAGGTGCACAATCTAAACTAGTAATGACCACTGAAGAGGCAAACATTTAAAACATTTTTAAAGCCCTAACCTTACCTGCAGACAGGCCCACAGGTTTGGGCCCCCTGCACCACAAGACTGGCAAGTTCCCTGCAGCAAGAGGAAGACAACATGAACAGAACTGAAGGGAACAGGAAAAAACATGTCATATGCACAGAGCTAGTGCAACACAAGAGAGCTTCCAGCATATATCCCTTATATTTGCTCCTGTGGTTATTACTACAGTCAGAACTGATGGAGACAAGGATGCTACAACAACCTTAAGGCCATGGCACTCACAGTCAGTGACCTGGACTGTGCATCTTTGACATTGTGCAGAACAACTACAGCGAAAAAATAAATAAAAAAATAAACCCACCTTTGATTTCTGGAGGAGGTCCTCCTTGGTGACCTCTCCTATGGAGTCCAGGTGAGGACAAATGTCTTGTTCGGCCATAGCTGCTAACTCTCTTCAGGGGGACGTCTGCTAATTTGACAGGGCAGTAATAACAAAACAAAAAAACAACTGTGGTAATTCAGATGTTGCAGCTAAAGCTAGCAGCTCAACACAAAACACACAATGTGCAGCCACATAAATCCCACGCAGCTCGTTTCTGACTTATAACAGGAACGTAAAAGACATACCTAACCATTGCTCAGACCCTCTTAACACAATGACCCACAGTATTTACAAACAGAACCGAACAGCTGTTAAAGGCCTTATGTTTACCAACCAAAGCTCAAAAAATGATCTCGATGGCAACAGCAGCCGTGCATGAGTCGTATTTACCAACAGAAGCAGCTGCCACGACGGTAATCGCTATTCTTCATTCTTCTTGTGCACTATCCATACTGGATGCGGGCAGGCGACAAGTATGCTAGCTCAACACCGAGGAGCCGAGCCGACAGACGCGATACCCCGGCCCGACACCCCCCAAACAACTCCCCCTCCCATCCACCGCACGGTCCTGCACGGCACTGCACGGCACGGCACGGCACGACGCAGGGCCGAGGGGAGGGAGCAACAACACGGAGACGTCAGCCTGACAAATATTGTTTTAATTATATATTTTCATTGATTGTATCTCGTTAGCTGTTAGTTATTTCTGGTCAATTTCTTCAAATATGTTATAGGAGTTATAGAAGAGCAATATGGAGTTCATTCAGTAACGGTGAAGACTACTGTTTACGGAAGTGATGTAATGTTGTACGTCGCTTAAATGGTCCGCCAAATCCACTGTGGTAAAGGACTGTCGTGCAACGTTCAAGTGTGGGATAGTTAGTGGCGGAAGACTTATTGACACATTTTACTTAAACAAAAAATAGCAATACCTTACTGTAAATATACTCCACTACAAATTAATATCCTGTATTCTTACTTAAGTAGAAGTGTAAAAGTATTAGCAGCAAAATGTATCAAAAGTAAAAGTACTCATTAGGCTGCTGACTTACTCCTGACATTATAGCTCAGTTTAACTACTCCCTGTTGAGTAGTTTAATCTATAAGTCTGTCTATAATGCATCATATTTTAGAAATTGAGCATATTTTGCATGTATACCTAGATCTTCAAAGTAACTTGCAACTAATTAAAATGGGAAAAGGTGTCACAGGGTGCCCTCTAGGTTGCATTCCTAGTGGAGAAAACGTGATGCAGTGTCATATAGCCATGGCATACACGCTGCCCCTCAGACAGCATGAGTCCGCCACTGTATATGCTGCTGTTCTTGAAGCATGGACACTGTACTATTTAATGCAGGCCTGAGCACAGGCTGTGCAGAAAGGTCTGTTGTTGGACACTCACCCTGGGTGGTTGTGTTATGAGGGTACTGGCTGTCTGCCAGCAGTGCACACCAACATCATCATCCTTCATTTAAACCTAACTGGAGGCGCAGGACAGCTGAATGGACCATGAGACGATTGTAGACACATGCCAATATAAAGAATTTAAAATCCAATCCATTTCAGTACTGGGCTCACTTACTCACTCAAATACATCTATTCATGATATTAAGGTTCAATTATAGGGGGCTATGGATGGAAATGTGGACCTGCTGACTGCTAAAAAACAGACATTTGTTATAAAAGGTCAAAATAATTTCCAAAAAGTGGATTCAGAGTGTATTATGTGTAAGTCCTATCAATAATGTATTGTAAAAGAAACTGTACCCATTTGGGGTTTAAATTTAGTATGTTTAAGGAACCGATTGAGGTCTCAATGTCTCAGCTATTGAAAAACACAAGTATCTTAGTAGATGTTTCAACTGTTTCCACTTCACATATTTATAGCATACCACAGTAAGGAATTTCAATACACAAACACACATTAATGCCCTGCAATGAACAAGCGTGCCATCCAGAGGCTGGATGGTGGGATTGGTTTGATACTTCTTTTTTCGTTCAAATAATAACCAGTAGGTGGCAATATATCTTTTCTAGTGAGTAGAAAAGAACAGAACAGGGCAGGTGAAATTTGTTTTTGATAAATGATGGAAACACATAAACATTATATGACAGCCAGAGCAGCACATTCTTACATACTACACATGTACAGTAACCACACTGTAACAAATTGCTGTAAAATAAGAATACTGGTATTTTGCACAGTAGATGTACCGTTTTCCATTCATACAGTTTGAATACTGTAAATTCTGATGTCTTTGAGGAACAAAATATTAGACAGCAAGCTCCTGTAAAATCTTACGGTAAAAAGCAGTATTTATTTATTTTTACAGCAGTACCTATAATCTTACAGTATGATATAGTATTTTTTTTTTTTCTTTTTCAGTAACTTTAAATCAGACTTGATCTTTGGTCCGTTTAATAGTTCATCTGGAGCAAAATAAAAAATAATAAATTAAAATAGGCTACACATCGGGTGTCTTTATTTGAGATTGAGGACACAAAACTAAACAGAAGATGGAAGAATGGTTTAATCCTGCAAAAGTCAGCATAATGCTAATGTGATTTTGTGTTGGTTAACATTTTATTGACTGTTTTTTGCCGAAAAGATTGAGTCAAAGTACGTGCCGCACGCTAGCATAACGTTACTCTCATTTAGCAAACATGTGGACAAAGTTTAGCTTTTCTGTTGTAGCACATTACTTAAATTAGCATAAATTGGTTGGGCATTTGCTTTGTTGTGTCAGATCTAATTAAAGGTGGGCTACAAGGTTCTATTTTACCATTTGTTGTTTTACTTTTCAAGTAAAACGGTTTATGGGAGTTTATAGGGAGAAGCTTGGTTATGTCAGGTTGATGCAAAAAGCTAAAAAGTAGTTTCAAATATGGCAGCGTAATATAATATTACGTAGCTAAAAGTTAAATGACTAGTTGTTGATTAATGATTTTTTTTTTGAGAGATATTTAAAGTTATCTTGCTGTGTATTGACTTAAACACCAGTTTAACAAACAAAAAAATCGCTTTAATCCACACAAACACATCAGTGCACAAACATTACTGTTAAAAAATAAACCAATCAAAGGGGTGGCTGTTTTCTGGTAAACTTCTGTGTCATATAAA